AAGAAAATGTAGGAAGCAGTGGGACTGGCTGTGTAGCTATGCAGTTCAGGCCCTTCGATTCCAGTTCTCTGGTCCCCATCTTCAGGACCTCTCAAAAGAACATGTCCAATTACGTTCTACTCTTTTCACCTACACAGTTATTACCTTTGTGAGGACTGTGACCTCAGCTTTTCTCTTTTCTGTCTTCAGAGACGAGATAAAAGTGATAGGTACCATGATCCAGAGAAATAGCCAAACGTCATTTTAATCATTCCCCATTAACCAGCTAGCTCCACAGATAATGAATGGACACATAAATTGCTACTTAAGACTGTAACTGCAATTCTTTGCTTTGAGTTCCTCTCAAAGAAAGAGAAAAAGAGACTTTGTATACCATCTACTAACTTAAAAGGGAACAACTAAACCTTTCCTCAGTTTATCCTCAAACATACAGTCGACAAAACTGGCCTGTGTCACTGAAGCAGTGATCACCAAACAGAAAGAAGTGGTAACCAACATTTTGGCTTTACTGGTGTTTTGCAAACAGATATCCCAAATACACAGAGTAAAATCAAAATACACAGAGTAAGAACAAAAAGTCTACAAAAGCAAGTGGGATGTGTGTGTGTGTGTGTGTGTGTGTGTGTGTGTGTGTGTGTGTATGTATGTAGAGGAAGAAGGAAGGATGAAAAGAGAAGGAACTGGGAGAGGGAGAAACTAAAGTTCTTTTGAAAGTCTCTGGGAAAAAACACATCATGCCACCTAGTGGCTATGAAAAGCTGATTTCTTTAAATCAAAATTAATTTTGTCTCTCATTAGAAAATCAGACAAACCCATTGACATCATTGGAATCTTGACTTGTAAAATTACAGAGTGTGCTTTAAATTTTCATCCAGCAGTTCTATTAAGAAAATTGGGGAAGGTTAAATTTATTATTCCTTTTTCCACCAGGTTGCTTAACTACTCCCAAAGCCTAGTTTCCTCCAGAAAGGGCCAGAATGGAAACCCCTCACTGCTATCTCTCACTCAAGTTCCACATTGCACAGTGAGCAGTGGGTACCACAATATTTACTAGTTGCCAAATGTTGTCTCCTACAAGTAGAAAATATGAAGATACTAAAGTTTAATACTGACCCCATAATAAAGGCACTCATTTATCATAGTCCCGTGTCACAAAGTCAAGCCATGGTGCCACTAACAAAGGGACTGATTTTAGAACATACTTTCTATGCTTTCCATCTTCTCCAGTCCCATTTTAGAGATTCTGCACTTTGGGGCTTCTTCATCAAGGCTCCTTTGCAGGACCAGATACTGGCTGCTCACTGCTTACATTAGCCTCGCTTGTGTGTCTTTGCAATACACACTTTCCAGTTTGAGTGACAACACATCCTCCTTGTCTCTTGGAGCCTGGCTAGACCAGTACTCATACAGCAAAAGAAGTAGAGTTGGTGCTTTGTGGCAGTGTTTCATAGGATTCACAATTCCTCCGTTTCTCGCTAGTCACGTATACCCAAGGGTGACCCTGTCGATCCAATTCACAAAAGACATCTAATACCACCAGTTACTCAGGGCCACTTTAAATCTCCAAACAAGCATTCTCTCTCTACAACCAAAAAAAAAATAAAACTAAGAATTCTTTAGTTCTAAAAGACAAAAAAAGGAGAATATAATATTTTTAATTCCAAGTACGATGGAAAAGCAGTGGCACTTTTATCAAGCAACTTTCTTTTAAACATCAAAATCATCTGCAGAAAGTTCTTTTCAGTTGGTTGCATGGCCTTATCTCACAGCTTGGCCCTTGGCCTCTTAGCTTAGCAGTTGCAGGAATAGTATGCAGTTTTCTAAGGGGCATTCATAGTTAATGCAAGAGCAGAGTAAGAACACGGTTAGTGCAGTCCTCAGTCTAGTCTTGCTGTGTTTTCACCATTGACAACAAAGCATGTTATAGATGGGATTGTGCATACAAATCTGGGATTTTCTCTAGACTGGTCAAATGAAAATAAATTGCAAGGGCCAAGAAATAAGATAGTACGTGTTTCAGCTCTCTGTAAGTGCCTACGGGTGTTAGAGTTTAGTCATGGAATATGCTGACATTCCTCTGATATCAACTTGTGAATGTAAGATAGGCCATGCTGCAGCATGCTTATCACTACAGTTATATCTTTGCTCAACCCCCTTCTTTGTCTTCCCTGATATCCTTGAACCCTCTCACTTCTGCCTTTAGCTTGCACACAAATCTATCCAACAGCTTCATTTTTTTTCTCCTACCACCCTGTAATGGTTTTATTAAAGCATTCACCTCCTTATATTAAGCCATTAATTACAGGAGGCAGGGAGCTTATGTTATACCTAGGGTTTACTATGACAGGCACGTAATAGGTACTTAAAAACCTTTATTAAATTGAAATATACTGTTAATGTAAACAGAAGGTATCACTCATTCTGAGAACGGATGATGTTGTCTCCTTCCCATCTTTACAAGTGGAGTCTCAGTAGCAGACATTCTAGAAGCTCCACTTGGAACTACAGACAAAGACTGGTTTCCCTGGTTCTCTTTTCAAAGTGCAGACAGCAATGTACTGTGCTGACTGATGAGGGACACTCCCATCAGCTGGGGAGTGACTAGGAAAGCTGCCCTCCATGAGCTCTGAGGCAAGAATTAGAGGATGCTCTGTTCTTCCTCGTGTTCTGGACCAGGATCACTTTTACATGTCCTTCAAATGTTGTCTTCTTTCACTCTTCACCTCTTGTAAGATCTTTGGCATAAAACGCTGAAGTGAAACAATTCAACATAGTAAAATTTAGGCCCCAAACCCAAATCATTTTACTGTTGTTGATGCTCTCACTGTGCTAGTGGTTCACATGTCGGGAATTATCAGCGAGTAGTTGAGCTTGCTCCTGTAAAAGACATGTCTGTGTCTATGGATGGAGCCAACCTCGTCATGCTTCTAAACAGAAGTCAGGACTCTGGAGCAATGGATGGGATGTGGACAGATGGTTAGGAAACAAGAAGTGGGCCTAGAGAAATGTCTTGGGTAAAAGAATTTCAGTGTAGGAAAGGACCTGTGTTTAAATCCCCCAGAACCCATGTAAAAGCAGGCTACTTTACTGTATACACGATAGCCTGCTTTACTGTAACTCCTGCTCTACCATAGAGAGATGGGAAGTAGAGGTGAGACAATCCCTGGAAGTCTTTTGGCCAGATTGCCTGCTGTATGCAGTGGTAAGAAACAGCAGCAAGGAGCCTTTGATGTTAAATAAGATGATAAGGCAACTGATACACAACCTTGTCCTTTGACCTCTATATCTTCATATGTGTACATGGCTGCATGATATATGTGTATGCAGACACACAAAAAACACAGACAGGAAAAAGAAAATGGAAAGGGGAGGGAAGGAAAGGGAAAAGAAGGGAAGGGAAGGAGAGAGAAGGGAAGGGGATGGAAGGGAAGCAATATGCATGTATGAAAATTCTGAAGTATACTGTACATGATACTACTAGAACAAATTTAGAGTGAAATTAGATGAAAGGGAATGTAGCTTTCATAATAAAGTATGAAGGTACTACCAGAAAGGATCAAGAATTATATTTTTGCTGCCTGATGATTTTAAATAATGGTAACAGTAATTACTACTTACTTAGACTTATGTTAAAACTGCCAAATTGGATTTTTCTTACCTATCATCACATTTTGTTCTCACAAAAATTCTACATTACTGAACATTATTACCCAAATTCTTCAGATTAAAAGAAATCTGGTGGGAGAGATTTACTTGTCCAAGGTCACAGTGTAAGTGTGTGGTAGAGTCAGTACTCAAAGCTGTGTCTTACCAGACTCTGGAGTTCCTAATTTCAGCTCCTACTTCTTCTGAAAGCAACACGTCAGTAATGACAGACAGTCCTGTAGTTCTAGCCTTTGGGGAAGGAGGTAGACCAGGAGTTCAAGGCCATCTTCAGTGACATACCAACTTTGAGGCCATCCTGGCCTACATGATGCCCCGTCACACACAGCCCACACACACACTCAAAAAGCAAGCAAGCACCTAGGCTCACGGCCTTCCTGTTTACTCTCTGTGTTCCTGAGATACTTACTCTGAACTTGTATCGTGCCTGTGTACTTTTAGGGACCAAACTCTAAAGCTCTACAATGGTGTGGATGTTGGTATGTGAGCCACCCCACAGATCCAAATGCATACACAGAAATTATAAAGGCCATTTTAATGGTGTTAGGAGGTTGCACCTTTGAGATGCAATCAAATAAACCACCAGATAAAGTCCATGAATGACACAAATTCCCTCACTGAAGGGGGAACCAATCTCCTTTGCACAGTGTAAGAATACAGGAAGAGTTGGCAGTCTGTGTCCCGAGAGGGTGCACACAAGAACGCCGTGATGCTGCTTGCTGATCTGGCTCCAGTCTCTAGAGCCCTGGGAGCAAGTTTCTGTTTCTGAGGCACTTTATCTCAGCAGTTCAAACTGAGACTCTCTCCATTGTGGCCTTAAGACTGCCAGCTCTCCCCATCCTCATTTTACAGCTACTCCACTCCAGAAGATCAAGCTTCGCTGGTCTGGGTTTGGAGAGGTTCCATACAGACTGTCGTCTCCAGACCTTTTCCGTGCTCTGCTAAGAACAACTGACTCTACCTTGAGAATGTCACTTCCTCTGTAAAGTTAGCTACTCCTCTCCTTCAACTACTCCAGCCTCTGCTTTCCTTTGTTTTGAGACAGACTTTTAACAATCTAGGCTGGCTTCAGGACTGCTAGATAGCCCAGGCTGACCTTGAATTCCTGATCTTCCTGTCTCGGTCTCCCTAGTGCAAAGATTTGACTACAGATGTCTCCCACGATACCTGGCGAGTTAGAAATATTTCTTTATTTAACTTAACTGTATGATGGTCTTTTAAAGAAAGGTCTTTCTCTGGCTCATTGTATCCTGAGAAACTGCAAGTTCAGACAAAAGCAAAATCATCTACTTTTGACACAGTTGAATACAATTAACGAAATTTATTGAGAGGGGAGAAAATGAATATTCCAAATATAAAGAAAACACATTGTTATTTTCGTTTCATCGTCATGTAAGTATCCAGTGATCAAAAGCAGTTGCTCATTAATTTTATCATTCATGGTAGAGAAAAGGTCAAAAAGTCACCAAAGGCTGATAAAACCATAAAGATGACTTCACAGAGATGTGCCAAGAGGTACTTGGAATCAATAAAAAGAATAGGGCTTTATTGAGAGGCAAAGTCTTGAAAATAATGGGAAACAGCACAACAGATCAGCATTTTCTGCAATAAATCAAATAAGTCAGAGGTGATATGTATCAGACAAGGTCCCTTTATTCTTCTATAGTGCCATCCTTTAACAAATATATAATTTTAAATTGTTTGTCCAAGTAAGTATGCTCACATAAACCTCATTAAGAAAAATAATTCACCAAAACATGTTTTCACAACTTTTAGTCTAGAAGTAAATATGGTATCCATATGTGAATTGGACTGTATCAAACTTTAGCCATTTTCACCCTTAAGAAAACAGAAATCTGGTATGCTTCAGCTACCTCTTTTAAGAGAAAAGCTGTGTTTTATCTTGGACTGATTAAGATTTTGAGTGTGTGTTTGTGTGTGTGTGTGTGTTGTTGTTGTTGTTGTTGTTTGGTTGCATGGAGAACAAATACTACTACAATGTTTTAAATGGAAAAGAACCCTAAAAGACTTCACATAATGTGTGATTTTTCTAAAATTGTATAAAAGAATATTGCAAAGACAGTAATAGTGTCTCTTGACACCTGCTGCTCTTTGTAAAATCCCAATGCATTAAGGGAAATGTGTTTATCATGGCTGCAATATGTTGCCTCTGATGCTGTGTTTGCATGTTGGGGGGTTGGTTTTCTGCTTGATTATTCCTCCTTTTGGAAGTTGTAACATTTCAGCTCTGTTAGAAGAACAGGTGTTCTGAAAGTAGAACTAAAAACATGAACAAGACACCGTGTGTGTTACCAAATTAAAATGAAGTCTTCTACTTCCTAAGTTGGCCATCAAGTGGGCAGTTTGGGAAATTGGTTTTGGATCTGTAGACAGACAGACATGGGACTGTATTATTGTTTCATGACATACCTGACATAGTTTGTGACCTGGAATATGGTCATGAATTTACCAAGCCCTATGTGTTACAGTAGTTTGGATTTATGGCTCATAGAAAGTACTGAACCCACACCTGAATTCACCACTGAAGATAGTGCCTTTTTGGGAGATCTGCAATTAAAGCCCATACGGTTCCCAGAGGAGCAGCCAAAATGAAGGAATACCACCCAACTGTCACCCCCAGCCTGAAACTCCATTGCTAATCTTCACTGAGAGCAGTATTCTGCTGGCAGTGATCAGGGCACCTTCCCATAGTGCACATGTGCTGCTAAAATGAAGGCTTCCTTTGAGTAATCCTATGTTTCTCACCTTGAACATCTAGGCAGGAATGCTTTGTAGAAATAAAAAAGTTGAATACCCAGGGCCATTGTTCACTAAAGTCTCTGCTGGTATCACAGACAGAATTGAAAAAGCCTCGCAGTAAGGCAAACCAGTTTCATGATCTAGGTCCTCCATTACGATCATCACTTTAGCAGGGAAGTGCCTCTTATAATTTGGTTGTGAACCTAGCCTTTACAGCTGAGCCATCTCCAAGCCCATTCACTATGGAGAGATACTCTCTCAGCCTAGATACACAGGGGAAGGCCTAGGCCCTGTCTCAAATGATGTGACAGACTTAGATGATTCCCCATGGGAGGCTTCACTCTCCCTGGGGAGTGGATGGGGGATGGATGGGAGTTGGTGGGGGCAGGGGAGGATGGGAAGGAGAGGGAACTGAGATTGGTATGTAAAATAAGGTTATTTTCATTTAAATAAAAACAAGAGGGAAGTGCCTCATGTACTGAAGACTCACTTCTATAGGAAGCAAGAGAACCAGAACCTACAATGTATATACACCTCTACTTAGCTCTTCACTGCTGTTAGCATGATTCAGGGTAAAACGAACTATGCAAGGGACAAGGAAGTTTTGAAATCAAGGATGGGATTTGGCAGTATGTCAGTCTTGCTGTGAGATTTGTTTTTAGAAATTAGGAGCATCAGGTATTTATGAGTGTGTACTTGGAATAAGTAAATTGTATCTTTAGATTGAAACACAAAGCTTAAGTTAAGAAAGTATTTCCTTTGTTGGGCTCCATGATGTGCTCAATGTTCATCGAATAATGATTATCTAAAATGAGTATCTTGGCTCACAAATTTGACACAAGGAATAAATAATGGTACATATCTCCTCACACAAACTGACAAATATAAAAAGACTTAAAAATGTATTAGAAAAAAATGACTGAATATCAAATGTAGGAAGATAAAACCAAGAGCTATTAATGTAACAATATTCAAAAGTATTCCAAGCTAGTTATTTTATCTGTGTAAGTTATTTAATTTTTACCCGAATTTTAACAAAATTTTTGTTAAAACTTCAAATGATAACACAACATGCAGATCATACATTTCAACATGTTGTTTCTTCCTTAACTGAGTTTTGTATAGTGTTATGTACTTTATGTTTGCACAAACCATGCTAATTAAATTAGGACACAAAAAAGAATAAATTTCATGAGCAGGGGGTTGCATATCTGAAAGCCCACTGTTGGGGAAGCTAATGTGGGACAGTGGCTAGTTCAACACTAGCCTCAAAAAAAAAAAAGAAAGAAAGAAAATAAAATAAAAAAAATAGTGAATTAGAAAATATTTCCATTGGCCACAGTTTGATGAGCTGTGTCTTCAAATATTGCATGAAGTGTGTTACTGGCAATTTTTAAGTCAAAAAAACTTGATTCTGCATTAGCTACTAAATATATGCATAGTTGTTGTTTTTTTGTAATTACATTCATACAATATATTTCAGCATTGTGGGATAATAGTATTCTAAAAATTTATTAACTGGTTAAATATACATATATGTGTATATATGAAAACTCATGTGGGTATAATAGTATTCTGAAGATTTATTAACTAGTTTAACATACATACATATATGTATATTTATATATGAAGAGTCATACCATATATATTATCATGTGGGTATAATAGTATTCTAAGGTGTATTAACTAGTTAAATATACATATATATGTTTAAATATGAAAACTCATGCCATATATTTTATCATGTGGGTATAATAGTATCTACGGTTTTATTAACTAAGTAGTAAATATCATATTAATAAGAAAATAGAAAGAATGAGGGTCTATTGATGGTCCCAGTAAAGGATCCCTTGAGTCACTGAGATATCATGGGACATTTTCAGGTCCCATGACATTTTCATGATGTATACTATTCACATGGATGAAACAGTAGGTATTTCCAGAAGTCCAACCTTTATACTCTCATAGGTATTTGTAGATCCTCCTCTATACACACCTGGCAGAAATATAAAGGGGGAAGTATCACTTGAGTCACCCATCTAAGCCATCCCATCATGATCTACAAAGGCATGATCTACAACCTCAAATGACTATTTGAATGAGTTGTGTCTGCTTTCAAGCAATTCTCAGTCTGGGTAGATTTCATCAACTAGTAATCCTAATTTTCTTTTTTGTTTCAAACTAAATATGTCTTCTCAAAAAATAAGAGTTTTGAAGTGAATCTGGATGAAGTATGTCAGACAGGTCACACTTAAAGGTGGCACCACTTGGTGTTTTCTTCCAAGAAGGAATAATTACACCAAGAAGGGAAAGCACAAGGTTCCAAGAAAACTCTGTGTAAGTTTATGGATGTTCTACATGCAATGTATTATTTACTATAAGGTGCTATATTTAGAGGCTACAAGGACAATTCAACAAATTCATTCACACATAACTGAGAAAAATATACACTGAATATGTATTATGTGTCAAATACCACCTTTGATCCTTACTTAAACTGTGGCTCTCTACCCCATGTGGGATTATATAACTGAATAAAAGGGTTGAAAAATTTTGTCGACTATGAAATTATCCTGAATATTAGATGACCAAATATTCACTCTGAATCAAATTGAATATGAACAGGTATGTTTCTGGCAACATTTGCACATGGTAGCGCTCAGGACCTCACTGTAGCCTTGGGTCTGGCCACACAACACCTGAACTGCACCATATCAACAAATGCTTCCTGAAATACTTAGCTTCAGATCCAAGACTGTTTTACATCACAAGTTGCAAACGTTTTACTGTCCACACAAAGTTTTCTGCACTTATACAAACATAATGCTTCATCATGGAAAACAAAAACATAATATATTAAACTAGTATATTTTGGAATTTTACTTACATTAGTATGCTGGTTTCCAACACTTTCTGAAATGCCCCTTAAGCATATTTCTGCTGTGTTGAAGCAGTATGTGGAGCAGTAATCTCAGTATTGATGGCTAGAATATCAAAATGGTGATTGACTGAAAAAAAGATGTTAAAAGTGATTTACATCCTGCAGTATCAACTGTCTGGCCAAGATTTGATTCCTTATGATTTAGTATCAGTGTATTATTTCTGTATCAGATTTCACTTACTTACACCCAGGATTACTGAAAAATTGCTCAAGAGAAAAGAGGTCACAGGTTTTAAAAGTCCAGAACTAGTGGGTAAATAAGAGATTGTTTGATATTTCACTTCTGGGAAATTGAGGGACTTTGTTCCATAAACTACTTCTTCAGGGAGCCAGGGGTAGCACTAGACAATGACAATACATTCATCTAAAGGTTATCTAAAAATGAAGATCTTGTACTGTGTTAACTTTGTCATTACTAGGGCTGGCTAATCTCCCAGAGAACCCAGCTCAAACAGCCTGTAAACAAATAAAAATCAAAAACTCCCCCATATAGAGGCACTCTTGTGCATTTACTAATAATTTTTAAATGAGTAACACAGTTTGCCTGGATATGTGGAACTTTAATGCTAAATAATGAGTATCACTTTATTATTTGAATTCATAACCTTAAGATTATAAATGACCCAAATAATCATTTTTCAAAGAGTGTTTCCCAAAATGTTCGAACTGTAAGGAAGGAACATTTGTGTATAATGAGGGGAACTTTATGTGAATAATAAAGACTAATATAGTTCATGTTTCCATTTGTTAAAATCAAATCTTCCAAAACTAAATATTGAAAAAAATATTTATTTAAACATCATGTTTGTTTTTTAAACCTCAGACATTATAACCTCAATTCTAGACTTACACTGTTGGATTTTTTTGTTATTTATTTTAAGGAGCAGCTCATATCTTTAAAGCCCTGGAATGGTGTAAATCATTACAGTGGTTTCACATTTTCATGGGATCAAGGAAACAACAGTAAACCCATAAAACAGATACTACTAATTATGCAGAGGAAAAGTCATAAAGTCACTAGGAGAAGCATGTTTTATATTCATGAACACATCATTAAAAGTTTAAGACATGCTATCAAATTCTACATTTTAATACTATACCCAACAGCATTAAACTCTCCCAACAAGAAAATCAGATTGCTTAATGATCCTTCCTTGTCACACTGGTTTTATATGTCTGCAGTTGAAGCACATGTGGAATTTGTATTGCTGAGCACTTTTATAAACCACCGGACAATTAAAAAAATCACTTATCCTTTATGTCTAGATTCTTTTTCAGGAAGGCCTGAATCATCTCCCAGAATACATATATAGATTAAGTATATTTGAGTCATAACCCTTGATTACATATTGTGTACATGAGACTTTACAAACAATAGTTTGACATATCTTTAGCAGACTATAAGTAAATAAGCAAACAAACAAATATAAGGGGGGATAATAATACCTTCTCTTTAAATCAATTTGTAAGATTAATTTTAACGTGAAAATTAAAACTGAGAAACAAGATTCACTCAAATATAGCAGTTTGTAAGCAAAAATACAAGAAATAAATATATTCTGCAGAAATACAGGAATCATACATAATGTTGGTGTCACTGATAGCAATCTTGAAAGATGCCCTTACACCATCAAAAGCATTTGCCGGTGCAGGCACACATTAAATACTTAACCTTTCTGTACTTGATACAAAAGGACTGCAGATGCTCTAATATCTTAATTTGTATACAATCCAAAATGTTTCCATTTGTACACAATAAATTCTTTGCATTCCATGGGTTAAGCACATGATGTAGCTGGCTCTAGAATATACACTACATGGGCATTTTAATGGGAATTTTACATATAGATAAGCTTCCAGCTTAATCTCAAAGTGAAAGTAAAATATGGACATGGGAGCTTCAGAGACTTGACTGGAAAACGTTGCAGATGAAGGATCAGAGCTTTGTGAGTTGTTATGGATAAGAAATAAGCCATGGGAAAAAGAGTCATTGAAAATACTTCAAGTCTATTGGAGAGATTTATGCACCAGGCCAGAGTCTGAACTGAAGGAGCCAATGACTTGAAAAAATTTAGTGAGGGTTTATTATTGGAAGCTTGTGAGGCAGCTGGCTGTGGCAATGGATGATCAGGGGAAGACAGGAAGCCTGGGGCTGCTCTCCCACTGACTGGCTTGGCAGTTTTATTTTGCTATAATTTCAGCTTCATTCAATGATGTCTTTTTACATTTCTTTTCATGCCTTGTTGGGAACTACAGATAATGAGAGTGCATGGATAAAGTGATGAAAAAAGTTCAAATTTTGATTTTGTTTAAATCACCAACTTAGGAAGACATTGCTTTAAAGTTCAAAAGTCAGGTTATGTATTCAAAATGCATGCTAGCATGTTGTCTAAGCATGATTAACAAATATTGCTAACTATAGTATCATTAATAAGTTCCCCAAAGTAAAATTTTACTACATTAAAATATGGAAGAAGGGTAAGCAGTTAGAATGATGGAATAATTATTATACAGCGATAATTACTATACACATATTCAGCATTGATAAAGCTATACTCAGTTCATACATATATACATGTGTCATACACTATTTAAAATATTTGACATGTACTTCCTTAACGTTTTTTAGCCATGTTCAAGGAATGTATCTTTTTGTCCTCATTTTGCAGTTCTGAGACTGAGCTAGTACACATATAACATCCCAGAAGTTCAACTGCAGGCACTTTGATTATAAACCAAGTAGTTATGCAAAGTTTCTCGGACACTGGAGATGGAGGACAACGGCGGGACACTTATCCAACAGGCTCAGGATTCAATCTCGAGCACTTTGAAAAACAAAAAAAAGTAATGTTCTCAAAATTCTATGTGATATTGGCCATTTCACAAATCAGATCATATATGTCCAAGTTATATATTCTTTACACTCTCTGAAGATATCCTTGCAATACATAAATTAATTTTATTAGTATTTAAAATCTTCTATGTTCAGTACTATGTGAATCTCTGATTCAGAAAAAATAATCAATGTGTGGCAGCTAGGGACAACGGCTTGAACTAAATCCATTTAACCCTTCAACATGAAGAAAAGCAAATTTAGTCCCCAAGGTTAACTGGTACATAAATACTTTTAATGAAACTACTGGTGTGTGGACAAACCTCGAACCTCTCTAAGCAGTCAGGAATCCACTTTTACCAGTGCTGAGCTGATTTTATTTTCATCATGACAAGGGAATTACAACTTGGAAGAAAATGCGGTCGCTCATTTGCATCTCGAGCTAATAACATCTATAATTGCTCAGTTTCCAAAGTTAGGACTAAATGTGCTCTCTCTGCCAAATGCAGCTGCTCCGCAAAATGAACACTGATTTGATTTTTCTGCAGAGTACGTGTTCACTCGCTGTTCTCATGATGAATAAATAATGCCACGATGCGGATCTTGCCCTTCTCTGAAAAGGGCTGCATCTGCTTATTCTCAGACATTCACGATCCTAAAGGGATCAGACACCAGAGGCCTGTGAATGAGAAGGCCTTTTCAGGCTTACAAAGCCTCCGCTCCCGAATCCACCTTAACCAGCTTGGAGCAAAGAGCTTTTGGCACCAAGTCATCCTTCAGGGAGAGACTGATAATGATCACTAAAGACATCGTAGGGGCTGCTGCCTCACTCACTTCAAAGGCCTTCTCTCCTAATCAACATTAAGTCGTCGTTTTGCCAGGGATATCAGGACAGCTGTACACAATCTATTTATTTGAAAACAGATTACAGCCAGGTTTCTCTGCCAAAGTATAAACCTCGTAATGTTGCTTGTGCTTTGGAGTGTTTTAAGTCGGAACTTATATTTCTAATTTAATGGCCCACTTTATCACGACTCTCTCACCCTATGGATTTCATCTTCTCGTAAAAGTGCATAATTTTATCCATTAGCCAGATAAGTTCTGCAACAAGACAACATAGGCAAAAAATAAAACCTTTTATATAAATCGAATAATTCAGCCTAAAATGTATGAAGGTTCAATACCGTAGATTTTGCATGGCGTACGAAGATAATGAGACAGTGTCTTCTTCATCATCTTTATTGTTGACAGTTTCACTTATTCATATAGTGAACTCTAGTCCCTTTCACCCCCATTTCCTTCTCATTACCCCCCTTTTCCTGCTGGAACCTTTCACAAGTCCTCTCCTACTTAACGGCTTCTTTTTGGGGATATGACCCACTGACTCTAATTAGTTTCTTGTCTGAGTTTGGGGGTGAGGACATGTCTACTGGGGAAAAAAAGTAATGTATCAGAGACTAGACCATGGAAGAAACAGAAAACCCCCTCCCAAGAACCACTGACTGCCAATAGTCACTCAGGGAGGGCCGGGCTTGAAGGGTTTCATAAGCTTCTCCCCAATGCATGATGAACCTGCTATTCAGTTTCTAGCACCCCTTCTTCCTTCTTTAAATTTTAAATACCATAGACCCACATCTCTTCCCTTTTTCTTTTTTTGATCCCATGACATTGTTGTCCCTCATATTTCTAATCTCTTGAAGTTCCCAGTAAGGCCAGGAAAATTACAAAGGACTGTCATTACCCAGTTACAGAAAAAAAAAAAAGAAAAATTTTGAAAAGGGTACTGATTTCACTTCCCTAGTCCAACACTTTAGTTTAATGGCAAAGAACATAAAGCTATAATAATATCCAAGTTTAATTAATGGTCATCACTTCTAAATTATACATACATAACAGGCACGGTTAAGTAGATGCATGTACACTAGCAAATAAAATTGACTAATACGAAGCCCTTTCTTAAACAAATTTGTTTCAAACAATATTATTAGCTAGATGGAGCAATGGCTGCCTATTATCTTAACATTCAGGAGCAAAATCAGGAGGACCCTGAGATCAATGGTAAACTTGTAGACTGAAATAAACAGTGATAGCCTGTCTCAAAACAACAATAGCAAAAAGTCACTAAAATACATGCATGTGTAATTACATGATATTTATGTCATATAATACTTCATTAGCTCATGAAGTTTATGTTTATTGGTGATTATTATGACTTACTACTGTTTTATATGGAT